TGTACTAAATTCGATAATTCAGCAAAAAAGTTACGGCTCACGTTCATGGGCATGTTTTATTGCGATAAACTTTCAACCCTCTTTTATTCGATGTAGTCCAAGAAAACAATTATTTATATGCGCATGGTTCTAAATTGAGAACACTCGACTTATTAAAAGTCGAACCGCATTCATGGACGTGTATCAATTATGACAGCGTCGGTTAAAATTAAAACGGGGAGGGAGGAGCGATTTTTCTTTTACACTTTGGTAGTATCAACATGGAAGTTCGAGAGTAATAAGTTAATAATAGCTTTCTTTCACCTTGCGAGGTACACGTGGCGATAACGAAAAGCGAGAGGGAAAAAGAATCGATTGAGTGGCTCGCGCTCGGCTATAATGCAGCGTAGAGAGACTCGTGCGCGCAAGAAACGATGGAAAAAGGGGTCGCCCCAAAGGAGAACCGTTTGTTAGAACCGGGCCACTCACGGCTGAAATGGGCAAAGGAAAAATCGTGATCGGGAAGGAAAAATCGGATCGCGATACGAAGTATAAAATCTCCGGTTTGTTGCATTGTCGAGAAATCCCCATCGAGGAGATTTATGCGTACCGAACGCGATCGTGTCAGTCGCAGTTTGCGCGAGATTATATTTCTTGCGGATCGTCGATCATAATTCTTCCCCCGTGTTTCCCGCTCTTTTATTCCTACAGTTTATCCTAGAAATTTATTGCTCGTTTCATTGTCGAATGGTAACGCAACAGAGTCATTGAAAAAACGGAACAAGGACGATTATGTCAAATGTTATATTACTTTCGTAAAGATCAAATTATACATATATGGAAATCCATGACAGTAAAATTTCTTAGTAAATTAAATCAATTGAGTTTTGGTAAGGCTTGTGATTAAAAAATCAACTCGGTGAGGAAAGTTGGCTCTGGTCGAAGATTAACATTTCATCGGACAGGGCTGGTGGTTTGAGGATTCAGTACGAACGACCGTGAAGTGGCTGAGGGTGGCTGGCCTGGTGATAGAGACTTGTTTGAGGTACGAATGCGTTTGTTGCGAGAACGGATGAGAGTGGATGTCGGACTAAGGTGGAGTGGGTCAGTCGAGCTCTTTCTCTGTTCCTCTACCCTTTTCGCCTCCTGTCTTCCAGTCCTTTTACTCACACACGCACACGTGTGAAGAAACAGATGCTTGTCGTCGTGCACACAAGCCTACCGGGTGCCCGCATTAGTTTTGTTGCTCGTGACGATGGTGCGAGGGTTTAAACTGCGAATAGTCTGAAAAAGCGTTGTTAGGATGATCAAAGATATCCGAGGCTTCTTTGAATACGCTAGGCCCGTCGCGACTCTTCGTCCCTTTGACGCGCCATTGTGGACGAGTTTGGAGACCGGTGGATCCGCTTTGATTGCTCGACTGCCAAACGAGCTTGATCGAGCTTCGATCACAAGCGCCCTCGTTCCCTAGGTTTCCTATGCGTTAGCAAATTCCTATGTCTCTTGATAAACAGGAAATTGAAGGTGATAGATATTCTTTCAGTCAGCTCATTGAATTAAAAAGGCAAAAAACACCGAAGGGAGATTATTAAAGAATGGCAGCCTCATGGGTCTGTGTCGCACGAAAGATCTGCAATTTTTTATGCCCTCTAGAATATATTTCCGACAAAAGTTGTAGTTGTCAGATACAAAAAAGGTCTTACGCAATTAGCTTCTAACTCCACCGAAAAGAGCGATCACCGACTGTGTTTTGAGCCCGAGTGGGCCCCATTCGCTATCCCAACGATTACACGGACGCAGACGTTACTCTTTAATAGTATCTCCTCGGTGCAGAAATCTTTTAACCAACTGGGAAAAGCGAATCGTAAAGAGCTTCCTCCTTTTTATTCCTAGCGCGTTTTCACACCAGCTTGCGAGGCATCGAGTCGAAAAGCAAGAAAAACCCAGATTAAAGTCTTACAGTCTTTTCACGAATCCTGGATCTCGTCTGTTCCTTCTTAATGAAACATAGCTAAAAACAGGAACTTTCGTATACCTACTGCGTTCTTTCGCTAGGCCGAATTTGGCAATATCGTCGAGTGAGAAGACAAAAATTGCATACAACTTGCTGACAAAAAGAGTTTCATCCTTATCTTTGCTTCGTATTCAGCAGAACATTTTTGACCCCTTAAGTATTTTTTATTTCACTTCTAAATATCTTGAATTGCAAGATAGAACAGAGTCGAGTTATAAGATTTTACGCTACTTGCCACGTCATTTTGAAAATTTGAGTTAAGTGAGATTAGCCGAAGCATCGGGTTTTGAATCCTCGGTTTAAGACTTCCTATTGAACTTCGCGTCATCTCACGAGCCAGGGAACGTCTTAATGTATGGTTTCCAGTTTGGATCAGCGCGCCTCGAAGATTTTGAACTTCTCCGCGAACTTGCGTGGAATCTTGATACTCTTGGAATTCCGTGAACTTGGAAAGTTACCCGAGGAATCCTTCAGGACCTTGAAGGATTCCGTGGCGATCTCGAAGCACTACCGGACGAGAAAAATTCGATTCTCGATTCCCGATACCTCAGATACTTTATTAACAATTGGATGCATAAAATAAGCAAAATGCATAATCGTATAATTACCAATAAATTCAATTGTGTATCATTGAAAATGTGAATTAAAGAAATGTATTCGCCATAATTTGTATCTGGCCATTCCACTTTAGGGAATGAGAATTTTGAAACCGATTTCTCCATCGAGTTAAATTGTTGATAGCTCCATTCGTATACCTAGTCTGTGCTGGATTCAAGATTCCAAGTTCTGTATCGACAGGCGGGACCAACTGCGAATGAATAGGTATATCGCGAGCCTGATGGATTTCCAGGGGTCCCCCTTATCGAACTCAACAAGCGAGAATTCCCTAAGTCGACTCACCGCGACGGAAGCTCTGATTTCTCCAGAGACCGTGGACGAAAGGGGGAAGAATCAGATTGACCGAGGAAGGGTCCAAGAACGGAGAGGCTTCGATACTTCCCTCCGTCTTTTGAGTATCCATTTCCGCTCGTCGACTGTCCGCGGACTTATTCCATTACCGTGTCGCGTTCTACGATAAGCAACAGAAATTACACATGAAATTCTGCCGAAAGCACTTCGTATTTTGCTTGGACTGCTGTGGATGGGTTGAATAAACCTTTTAAAAGATCACACGTATTATGTATGTATTTATCGAAAATTCGTAGACCATGTAAAGTCAACTGAATTTCAATAACTGTAAACGTGCTGCTGCTTAAGAACAGAATTGAGCGAAACGGAACGGCACGCGAAAGAGTAGAGACAAGGAAGAAGTGTAGAGACGCGGGGGGATGGCGGTTCGAGAAGGGCCTTTGACTGGCGCACGAGGGGGACCAAACTAACCCCTCAGGTTGCTCGGTCTGCAAGGGTGCACGATATTGATTCTCGCCTACCACTTGCCGCGACGTACATACTACCTGTACGCGGGATCTCATGGTGTTCGTGGCTTGTCTCTGCCTCTCCCGCAGAGGCAGCCACAGTGGCTCGTTGCATGTCTCAATGAGCCCACGATCTACACCCTCGTTCATAAGTCTTACGATTAAAGCATCGTAAAATGTATAACTGAATGAGATGAATGAGGATTTGTTATGGTTTAATGAAGAGTAAAATCTTCTGAAAAATCTCACTATTCTAATCAGTGACTTTAGCGAGATATTTAAAAATTATTTATACTTCGTTTGAGATACGATTGTATTGGAACGATTTATAATTTTATCAACTGGCTGCGGCTATAGGATTTCCTATTATCTTTCAATAAACTCTGATGACTTTTTAATAGGCAATAAACATTGAAGAGCGTTCGAAAATTTCTGAACGGGGATGTACCATCCATCTCTCCCGGTTCTGCCTGATATAATCGATAACGATCGCGGCTCGAGTCGCTGCTCCGCTAGGATAAGATCTTTGTCGCCCTTCGATCGCGACTCGTCGGTATATAATGCTTGATAGGATTCTGAGCCGCCGACGACGACGAGTCGCGAGGATTTTGATGGAAAACCGAGGACGTGGGATGGTTGCCGATAACAGGAAGGCTCTTCTTTGTATTCCGCGGCAGTCGTCGTATCCGACAATGAGTTGCGAACAACGCACAATACATTGATCAATTTTTTTTTTGGGCCTTATCCTCCTTCGTGATCTGTTACCGAGAGCGAAGCATTAGTCGTTGTTAGTATACCATAATAAGCCGTATCTGATAGTACCAGTACTATCTAACACATATGTATGCAGTTTCAATCTAAGAGGGGGATCGCCGATTCGAATCTGCCTCAACTTCATTCTCTCTTAACTCCGTTATCACCGTTGACGATTTTATCTCCCTCGTCGACGTTTATCAGGTGTACAAGCAGCGAGTCTCGCGTTTAATTGAGCCACGTCGCTAGGTTTCTCTATCAATCCTGCCCGTTTAAGATCGTGACTGCCGACGTCATCGGTCTCGCTGAAGAATCTCAGGGCTCTCCCCTTACGAGTTACCGTTCCACGCGATGATCTTATCTCGCTACGGAGCAACCCGGGCCAACGAGATTAATAACGCGAGATCGGGCTGCCTCGCAGTTTGAGTTGCTCGTTGGAGAAAATAGGAGCGACGGAAGGATGAAGGGGAGAAGGGGGCAGAGAAAGCCGGAGCGTAACAGACAAATGCGAGACAATGAAGATTAATGTTTGGACCCGGTGTGCTGCCCGAAAGCACCGTGTGAAACGAATTTTCGGCAATCCGCAGCCTAACCGAGGCTCACGCGTTATCGTCAAGGAAAAGGAAATTGTTATCGATTAATCAGTTTTTTTTTATATTGAATCATACATTATAAATCGATCATTGAAATCATTAGTTTCCGTTAGATACGGACGTCAATATAATACTATAATGAATTGCGGATCTATTGCAAAAAAAAAAATCGAAGCAGGTGTTGTTAGGAAAATTATAAAGAACGATTGGTCACCTTGCTGATTTCAGACCAGCAGTCGGCGTGACATGGATGTGAGCTTCACGAACGTATTAGAGGGGGCTCGCCAGTACTTCCAGGGACTGCCCGTACCGAGTACAGGTGGTGCGACCGCGACAGCGGATCACAACCTCGCGACGTCAACAAGTTCCGCCTCGCCCACGTCATCGTCGCACGAGCATGGCGCCGCCTCGTCCGTGGCTTCGCCGTCACCGGCACCGCCCGCGCCGCCGGCACCACCGCCACTATCGTTACCGTCGCAATCGACTTCGAACAGCATCGGCGGCGGCGGCACCGGAAGCACCGGCGACCAGGAATCGAGTCGATACCTCAACGACGTCCGACCGCCTTCGGTGGACAATGCCGCGACCAGTTCCAGCAGCTTCTGGAGCCCATCCGTCGAGCCGTACCCTCCCCAACCGACCAGGGTCGAAGTCCCGGACACGAGGCCAGGCGACGAGGGCTCCTCCATGGATGCGAGTTCGTCGTCTTCGAGCATCATCACGCTAACGGAGATGCAACCGAGCAGTAGGTCCTCGTCCGCGTCGAACTTCTCTCAGAAACAGTCAAACACGACGTCGTCGTTACCCAACGATCTTCATCGGACGAACACGAGTTCGCCGCATTTGCATCAGTTGCAACCGCCCCAGCAAGCACGTTCGCCAGGCCCTGTGTACCAGCAATTAAACCCCGTAACGAGAACGTCGTTTTCCACCGCGGAAATCCTCGCTTCGACGCACCAGTCGACTTACCAAACTGCCAACGACCGGCAGCCACAACCGAGCGCACCGGTCGTAGCACAGAGGACCCAATATTACCCGAGGTACCATCATCCGGATATCACCAAGAGCGCACCGGTACCTTTTAGCCAGAACTCGATCTACCAGTCGTCGAACGTTACGGCGGCAACGTCTTTGAGCAACGTGCAGTCGGTGACAAGGCCCACGCCGATCGAGCAGAGTAACGCGAACAGTTCGTCCGGTTCGAGTCAAGGACACACTCCAGAGCAAAGAGTGCCACCGAGTTCCTATGGTAATAACGCGGCACCGCCGCCGCCAGTTACGATTTACGGCACACCGTCGCCGCAGAGTTATGCCAGCGTAGCGCCAACGCAGCATCAGCTGCAAAATCGATTAGGCTCGTCGTCGAGCAATCAGGACAGGACGTCGCATCCGGAAAGATCGCACAATCCCCGCGTCGTCTCCTCGTCTCCGTCCTGCCCGTCGGTGAACCCGTGCCCCAGCCCTCGTCACAGTTCCGGCAACTTGAGTCACATTCCTCCGTCGTCGTCCTCGTCGTCGTCGTCGACCTATCAGAACCTTCCGGCGCACATTCCCACGTCGCACCTGGCATCGGCCAACGCGATGATACCTCCGCAGCATCATCACGCTCAGCAACCGCAGCAACAGTCGCCGATGCAGCAGCAACAGCATTCTAGTCGAATAAACGCGTCGCAAGTACCGAGCTCGTACACGGGTCGGATGATGCACGGGGGAGCATCGGCAACGTCCTCGAACGCGAATCAGATGCCACCACCGCCAGCGCTCACCGGTTATCATCCCGTCGCGTCTCCCCACGATGTTCCTCATCACGCCACCCCCTCGCCCCATAGACAATCTCCTCACGTGTCCACCCTTCACAATCCGCATGTGTCCTCCCCGCATCACACACCTTCGCCACACGCCAACTTCCAGCCGCATTCACCGACTTATCCGCCGCCTCCTCCTCCTACCTCCACTCCTCACTCGTACAATCTTCCGATTACGTCGCAGCATTATCAACCGAGCGTCGGTGGTTACGCCGCGAACCCGTACGGACTGCCTCCACAGTCTTCGTATCATTCCTACCAGAAGACGCAGCAACCGTCGTACACGCAAGCGAGTTACTACCAGCAACAGCCGAATCGATCTCAAAGTCAGCCGTACGTCCAGCAAATACCGATTCCCGGAGCCCCGCAGTCGATCTGTTCCGGGACTGGAAGTACGAATGGTACCGTTTACCAGCAAAGCAAACCGGTCACGTACAACGGTGCCGATTCGAAGAGGAATTCGATCGAAATGCCGTATGGCTCTTATCGGCCACCCCAAGCTCTTCCGAGGACCGGGAGCACGCACAATCTTCCACCGATCGCTCCTCTGTCGTCGTACCATTCCAACAGACGGGAGTCTGCGAGCAAAGCGCAATCGGTGCAACGGCAAAGATATTCCGCTAACGCGGCGAACAAAGTTCCGGCCACTGCGCCGCCTGTCGCTCCAATGGCTGCGCCGCAAAGAGTTCCCGAATACCCAGTTCTGCCGATTGTGAATCATGCTACTCCAGTCAACGGAAGAACGACCGCTGTGACGAATTCCTCGTACAGCAGGTACACTGCTCAGCACGGATACCCGACCTACGCGACAACCATGGCGCCTAGTCACCAGGGAACTAACTCTTCGAGCAGTACCACTGTCACGTCTATCAGCGTAACACCCTCGAGACCGTCCGCCACTACGATACACGATTACCAGGCGTCGGAGGCGAACCGTACCGGGTCCTCTTATCACCATCAACCTGTCAGATCTACGGAGGACTACGGTTACAAAGAGTATCCGTATCAGACGTCGACTGCGCCCACGATTCAGTCCACGGCTTCCTCCCTGGTGACGACCCCATCGCCGCAAACGAACGGTGTCCGGAAAAGGGAGTCTCCATTAGACTTGTCTGTTAAAACCGTGAAGACGTCTGCGGATTCCACCGCGCAGGACGACATCGAGATCACCACGGAGAAACATGTTAGTAGTTCGACGGTGATCTCTTCGAGAAGTAACAGTAACCCGAGAACGATGTTACCACCGATGCAACCTTCCCCGCAGCCGGCGCCATACCCGGCATACGACAATCGGTTGTCCAGTAACGGTAACAGGAATTTGCCACCCGGTGGCAGTATCCGGGCGTCGACGCCACAGACGGTGTGTGCACCGAAGGTCGACTTCCTGCCGGACTTCAATTCCACACCACTGCGTCACCAACAGCACGAGAATACTCTTCAGCGAAGGAGTTCGACGCAACAGCAGCAGCCGCATCAGCAGCAGCAGCAGCAGCAGCAGTTGTACGCCCCGCCCCCGCAGTCTCCCTCCTCGCAGCATCCTAATAATACCACCGCTCCACTGCCTCACATGTCCACGTTTAAGAAGACTTCACTGCCCACCTCGCAGATGTACGACTCGATCACCGCGCCGGCACCGCCGCCGGCACTCTCGTCCTCGTATCTGGCAGCAAACGACACCTCGAGATCCGGCAGATATCCTCCTATGATGCATCCCGGTAGGATAGCACCGACGGTGCCGATTCACGACTATCCGTCTGACCCGTCCAAGTATTACCTGGACAGCAGGAGTAAGTTCGGTCAGCCAGCGCCTCGGAGAGACCGAACGCCCACGAAGAGGCCCGGTGAAACGATTTACGGAATCAGTCTGCCGAAGCAACCGAGGTTGAACACGTGGATCCGGCAGAAATTGTCGACGGCAAAGGCGCTGGACGAGCAACAGAAGATGCAAGAAAGGAACTCCGCGGTTTCGGTGCCTCTACCGAACGGGAATTTGGTCGCGCCTAACGCGTACGAACCGAGATTGGACAGCGGGTATCCGCCTTCGGAGTCGGCGAGATATCAGCCACAAGCGTACTGTGATAAGAGGAGCTACGCGGAACCGAAGGTTACCAACAGTTCGCCCGCGTACGCTCATTCAGGGATAACGAAACCGGCGAACATTCATTCCCTGCCGCAAGCAACGAACATCAACCAACAGTCCTACCCGAATTACAGGCCGAGTCAGAAGCCGCCGTTGGCTTCTGGCGCGACTTCCGGTGGACAACCGCCCGTAGAGCCGCCGATCAACACTGGTGCTGATAAAAGAGTAGTTCTCAGTTTGTTAAGGAACAGTTTGGAGAACAAGCAACAGAGAGAGGAACAGATGAACAGTCAGCAACCTATTCTTGCTAATCACAGTCAACAGAGTTTTCAGAATAAGGTAAGTCCGAAACTCAGTTTTTATCTTTAGTTACTTAGAAAGAAATGTTTCATTACAAAATACGCGTATGTGAAAATTGTCGTATGTGTTATTACATCTCGCCATAGAGTTTGCACAGAGTTTCAAGCTTAAATTTGTAATAGTAATTCGAGTTTACCCTTCAAATCCATTGAGAGATTATGGACGTCAAAATGTAATTCATGCATGCGTTGGGCTGTCCGTTATCAGACTTTAACGTCGAGCGGTGTTTCCTTGTATTCCCCAAAGGTCGTTGCACCGGTCGAGCCGAAGACGAACATCGGAAGGCACAACCTGTCACCGTTCACGGCGGCGAGTCTGCTGGAACGAAACAGCAACACGCCGCCCCATTACAAGTTCCATGTGCCGAGAGCGGTCGACTCGATCACTCAGGAGGCGCCCCGTAGCTTGTACGGCTCGCGAGTAAATTCATCCGCCACGCTGCCCGGCAAAGAGGCGCTCCTGGGCCCCAGAGGTGCCGAGAATCAGATCCACCGTGACAAAGACGACGGCCTCGCCGCGAAGATTAGAACCAAGGCGGAACTGAAACAGGTGATTCTACTGACATATGCATAATCATTAATTGAATGAGAAATTTTATGGTCTTGTGTGATATCTCAATGATAGAAAAAGGATTCGATGGTTTTATAATTATGAAGTAGGGTATGAAAGTAGTTCGTTAATGTGTAATACCGTATTTCTTCGTTCTTGATCCTCAAGGTGGGAACCGGTCAATTCGCAGCGAAACCAACGGTTATACGTTCCCAAGACACGTCAACTACCCCCAAGGGTAAGTTTAAATTATTACTTTAATATTTCAGTCTTAAGTAATTTCATGGCTGATTTATCTCGTAAAAAATGTAACGAGATATTAATTCGCAATTGATAAATCATATACATTGAAATAATTAAAATAAAGATAGAATTTCAACTTGATTAATTATACGAAGTACAGTTGGGATCAATTTATTTTATACGAAATCTCGTTGGATTCACTCGGAATTATATGCATCTAGAATTGGATAGTGCTGCCTCAACATCGACACCGCAGTCGGGTTCGTCGGCGGGCAGCAGCCCTCCGAAATTGACGCGCGAGAAGGTGGCCTGCCTGCCGCCCCGAAGGCGTTTGTTCTCCAGAACGGAAGAGGAGAACATGCCGGTAGCCGCGACGGTTCCGGCTCCGGCGCCAGCGCCGGCTATCGCCTCGAGCGTACCAGCGCGAGCGAGCGGCTTCCGTAGCTCGTCCGAAACGTCGGTGTTCGACTTCAGGGAGAGCGACACCGAGGATGAGATGCCCGTGCTCGAACGCCAAACGCTCGAGGAGATGAGACGGGACAGAAAACAGCTGTCGAAGGTGCAGCCGCCTGTTTCCCTGAATGACGCGATGTACATGGACATGACCTCATCGTCGGACCTCGTCAAAATAGAACTGAAGGTAATGCTATTTGCGTTTGAAATCGTGTTCAGCTCTCTTGTATTCTGATTCATTCGTATTCGGGCTAATGGCCTTGCCACATCTCAATATTTTAACACATGCATTCTGTTTACTAAATAAGAACAATGTAATTCATCTTTTACGTATTGTTTCCTATAATAGCAAACTTATTTGTTTTATGCATAGAAAATATATTTGATTAGTTCGAATCTCAACGCGATTCTTAACGTTGCCTGCTCGTCCAATTTATGTTTAATTACACTGTCTCCGTTAACAGGAGAACGACAAGATCCATGAAGTGGACGCGTTCTGGTCCACCACGTGCGATAAGTTCATGGAACAACTGCGAACCGGAGATGCGATGAAGAAACGCGGTCGCAAGAAGAAAATCAGCTGTACGATAACGTCAAAATTCGAGGACAACGACAGCATCAAAGAATTGAACGCGAACACGTCGCAGATCAAACCCGAGGACATAAAAAAGGAGGTTCAGGATGATTCGCTGTTGGATGCCAAGGACGATTATCCGGAAACAAGCAAAGACGATGAAACCTCGATGCTAAAGGAAATCAAGGTCGAAGTGAAGATGGAACCAGAGAGCAAGGACGAGGAGAAAAATTCGAGTGACGAAGAATTACCGTTGATTCGACGAGCAAAAAAGAAGATGAAGAAGGACGATAGCGATTGTGAAGAAGAGATAATTTGTAGAAAGAGGAGAGTTCGAAGAGGTAGCAGAATTAAATTGGAATCATCAAGTGGTAGTGAATCTTCTAGCGAAGAGAGCGATATTAGTACAGAGTTTGGCCACGGCTCTTCGGTGGCTGACAGATTGAGGGCGCGGAAACGTTGCGGTAACAACAGCGTGGAACTCGAGCGTATGAAATTGAGATCTAGGGATACAACACCGCAAAAATCTAAAGCGGAGAAAGAGTCAAAATCTTCAACCTCGAAAAGTTCGAGTACGTCACAGAAGGGGAAACCGAAACCCCTTTTTGGGGACGGCAGCGATTTCAGACCCGGCTGGGAGGAAGAAGTGTACGTGTATAAAAAATCTTTAAGAATGCCACCCAGATTAATTACCGTATCGAAACCGTCGAGGTTTCACAGATTGTCTACCTCGCTGCCTGACCTAGATCCTGGATCTCCGGCCTTGTCTGTCTCTATGGACAGTTCCGACGTGTGTCTAAGCAGGAAGAAACTGGAGGACAGCGACGTCGAGTCCAACTACAGTTTCACTACTACTGGAATCGGTATCGGAAGCAAGATCGACGACGAAGAGGCCACTTCGTCGACAACAATCTCGTGTCCCGTGAAGGGCATGAAACACTCGAAGTCAGAGGGGAGCTCCATCGTCGACGTTCTAGCTCAGAAAGTTGGAACTAATAAAAAGGAACAAAAGAGAAAGCAGAAGGAGAAATTGGATAAATCTGGAAACAAGATACTGCAGAAAGGTAGCAACGAACCGGAACTTCTACCGACTCCTAGTTTGACGCCTCTATTGGAGACGTCAAAATTGCAGAAAGGCAAATCTCCGATAAAAGACAGCAAGACCATAAAGCCCGTCAAGATAGCCGATTCGTTCCTGCTTGGTTACTTCCGCAAGGAAACAGTGAACAACTTCCGAGACACGTTTAAAAATAATCACGTCCTTCCGAACGAATTTTCTACGTTCGTGCTGAAGAGTAGAACGCGAACGGAAACGCGGGTATTAAAGAAACAAGCGACCATCAGAGAAGTTTTCGGCGAGGACAGACCAGCTTCTGCGCCCCCAATGCAGAACCACGACGACACCTCCCAAGATGACGATTCGCAGAACGAAACTCCAGAGAATACATTGAGCAAAGACAGGACCTTGAAACAGAAAGTAGTCTCGCGATTGAAGAATGCCTGCATTTTGAGAAGTCGGAAGGCGATCATGAACTCGAAGCATCATTTGCTATTGAAGAGACGAAAGGATCTGTTGAAATCTTTAGCCGAGAAGAAGCTGCAGCGTTTGAAAACAGAAGCGGAAGAGGAACCAGTGCAGGAGGAGACGAACGACACGCAGGAAGCTGAAAACAACGAGTTGGACGATGAGACGAATGAGTCCGAAGTTCGTAACAAGAAGAAGCTGAAATTGAGGACGAGCAGACGAAAATTTCGATCGGGATTCGACTACATCCGCAAGAAGAAGAAACCTCTGAAGAAAGATGAGACGTTGCCCAAAGAAAGGAAAAGGGTACGTATATAATCCTAATCAATAACGATAAAATTTATCTATCGCTTCTTATTATGGATGATTTGCAAAGCGATTTGATTCATTTGTAGCATGTGCTTACGAGGCCAAATCCAGAATGTGTCGCTGATATACAAACAGAAATCCGAACGTGGGTAATCAAGAAAGGTGTCGGTGAAACGATGCTGCATCGTGCTGCCAGACTTGGTTATACGGTATTTAATTTGTACTTTCTTAGGTATTAGTAAAAAAAAGTTTCAAGACCTACATTTGCAATATTTCGGTTTTTGTTTGTAGGATGTTACGGCATACTGTTTGGAAAAACTGAACAACGCGCCAAGTCCGAAGGACAATGCGGGTTATACACCTCTTCACGAAGCCTGTTCGAAGGGCCATCTCGAAATCGCGAAATTGTTGCTTGCCTATGGTGCGAACGTCAGCGAAAGTGCCAACGGAGGAATAAGGTAAAAAGAATTTTGCTTACTTCATATACTCGCACAGTTGCTTCGGAATACTTAAGTGTAATGTCATTGTTTTCTTTTAGGCCACTTCACGAAGCGGCGGAAAATGGTGCTACCGAGCTCGTAAGATTGCTACTATCTTACGGTGCTGATCCTTTATTGGCCACTTACTCCGGTCAAACCCCGTTGATGTTAGCCGCGGACACTGATGCCTATTCGATACTAGAACAACATTTAGACGATATCCAAGGTCGCGCAAGCACGCCGTGGTCTTTCGGCGGACCGGCTTCAATTTTCGGTACGTTTTAACTCACTATTTCAATGTTGGATTCCACTAATTAAAAATTGCATTCAATTAAACGCAGTAATTTACTTCGTTCCAGACCCGGAAGAGACTGGTTATAATCCTATGGAAAATCCTCCGATGGACAGTCCGGAACCCGAATTGGACGAGATCGATATGGACGAGTGCGATGTGAATCTTCCGGTTCTCTTCACGTTGATCAATGACTCGGATAAATGGGTGCTGCTGCAAGATCTAATGACCGCCCTCCGGATAAAAAGCAAGGAAGCATTGCTGCGTCAGGTGAATCCTAAGGCTCACTCCGGGCCGCCCGCGATTGCTCATCGCGACGTGATGAGAGAACTTAAGCTTCAAGACTTCCTGGAACAATCCCGTTGCTGTCATCTTCTCAGTGGCGGGGAACGAATCAACATGCGGGGGTCGAAAGTGACCCTGATCAAATACAACGATAAGGTGAGGTCTCTGCTGAACGTGGAGAAGGTAGTGATCAGCCTGAGGTGACAGGAGGGCCAGCTGGGGCGGTCATCGCCCCAGGCAAGGCCGTCGACTTCCGCCTCGCGAGAGACCGGGAAGAAAAGCTCGAGCGTTTCGCCTAAACGTGAGAGGCAGGCCAGGACGCGACAGGGAAACAAGACAGCCGCCACGGATTGAACGTGATTCGCGCGAGGTCTTTTGTCGTGAAACGTTTTCGCTTCGCACGTGATGTCGTGCGCGATTTGTCGTACGGGAATGGGTTTCCTCAGCTTCATCATCCCGTTCGAACCGGAAGCGGGATCGAACGTAGGCATGACAGGTACGTCGAATTTTAGAGATTAGGAGCGTTTGGTCGGGGACGATCGTTCAACGACGCTGCTCTCTGACGCGTTCTATTAGCAGTATTTATTGGCGGATGTTCCAAATGGGGCGTATGGTGATATTTTATCGACGCGAGCCGGGTGACGATCGGATTTTACGATGCTTCAGAGTGATCGTCTTTTATGATACTCCTATTTAAAAATGTTCCGCATCGACTAAAAACCTCGCGGAAAACTAAATTCTTTCGATGACATCAATTCCAGTTGGGTGATTTTTTTATTGATAAAGGTGAAGCTACATTTGAGCACAAGACTGTCGAGAAATTTTAACGCTTATGGATTCGTGACATGTTTCTTTCCCGAGAGAGAAGAGTAAAGATATACTCTAGATAGATATACTCTTCATTTTCATTTCATATACTTAAAAATTGTTAGCAATATTTATCGCATGCACCATCTATTGTCAACAAGGAAGTTAGAATAATCGAATTCTTACTTTCGAATCATGTAGATTTTTTAAATCGCCAAATGTAACTCCATCTTCCACTGGAACGCGATTTCTCGCCGCGTGTTTCGATTATTCATTTTAGAGAGATATATATTTGGATATCATCCAATTTGATTATGGGCTTTACACGTTACCACGTTGTTAATTTCGTTTAATTCTTTCTCTTATTATAGTGCTACGGAATCGATTCTAGTATAATTTGTTTACACGTTGACCGTATAGATTTAAGCAAGCGTTGGATCAGTCATTGCGACAACAATGCATTTAAGTTTTCTGTTACGTTTTTATTTCTTTCTTTCATTGGGATGTGCAATTTCTGCTTGTTGTTAAGCGATCACCGAATGTCGAATGAAATCTATTAACAGATTTAGATCTCGGATCGATCATGTAATATTCAGCGTGCAATAATTCAACTTGCGATATTGGACAAAGCAATTAACGCGTTCACTGTTGTCTAGATCTGTTCGTTCTCCTTAGATTTCTATGTTAATGAATTGTTCAAATTTCTTTTCTTATAGCGTTTAATTTATTGAACCGGCAAACCATTTGTTACGATAAATGTATGAGTCCTTATCGTGTCCAGCAGTGAACGTGTTCAAAAATCGTTGATCCATCCAATTTTGCGATGTATGTTGTTTTGCGTGCGGAGATGGAATAGATTTACGTACTTACACGTTTTGTAACGTCAGAACGGAGGGTCGAACAATAAAAATAACGGAGAGCAAACTCCTGATTATTTAATTAGCAAAAGTAACGGTGTTCGCTCGCGCATTTTATTTGCCTCCGTAATACAGAGAATAATTATGAATCGTTCTGATCAGTCTCAGGGAAATATATATTCGTATTCGCGATGTCGTCCTATGCGTTGTATCGATTTAAAAACGGGGAACGCGAGCTAGGCGGCCAGTCTCTCGTTAGAAATTCGATTAACTTGTACAGTCACACGCGAAGAGCACGGGTCTCGTTTCGTTCGGCGAACCGTTTTCCAGTCGCTGGTCGTTTCGCGTTCCCCGTTCGCGCTTTAATTTTATTTAGCTGACGAACTTTACCAAACGAACTCTGACGAACGCAGCACACAGTGGTCCCGGATGCAGTTTACACGTGTACATACCTATTTTCGAATAAAGGAAAAAGAAACACTTGTTTGGCGTCACCGATCGCGTCCCGTACATTTTTTTGCGGCTCCACGAACAATCTTTCGAACGAGATTGCGAGAGGGAAACGCGGGTGGAGAACAAGTAAATTAAAATTAAGATAAAATGTAATGAAGAAGAGAGATGGGGGGTGAAAAGGTGATGGAGAACGTAACTGTGGGTGTAATAATGTACCTTTTAAATGTAAAGTAGAATTATCGAAGATAATTATTGTAAGTGTAAGTAGCCAGGAAGAACACATGACACTTGTTCATATTACTGTAATAGACGCGTACACAGACACACGCTCGCGCACGTGTAGATATAAAAAGGTGTAAGAAGTAAAAAAGAGAATGTCGATGACGAATAAGAAAAAGCGTTTTAGTGTTAAGGATCGTAGTAATTTCAGCGAGTAAATCCGAGACGAATACACGCGCTGTATTCTGTTCAAGGTGTTACGTACGTTGTATATATATATGTACACACGCATATGCGACGAGCGCGCGCACACACACATACACACACACACACACACACACACACACCATTACTTTCTCGCAATATAATAGGAGCTATCGCAGTTATTACCGCTAACTAATTATTATTACTATTACTATTACTACTACCGGTCACCGATTACTACTACGATTACCGCTATTACTATTACTATTTGCCACTACCACTACCGTTACTGTCACAACCAACTACTGTTTACACACTACTGTCACGACTATCCGCTTTTTTTATTGTACGATATATACATAATAGCGAACTATGAATGTACATTTTCTTAGCTGTAAACGTTCCCTCCTACCTACACCCTTATCGAACCCCGATCATTGTAATTTATATAATTATGTCCGAGGATACTTCTAAATGTGTTGAAGAAAAAACAAAAGAAACAAAACGAAGAACGAAACCGCGTTGCTACTGCACGAAAAGTAGCAATTCTGTGCGAAGGAAGAACAAAATATATATATATATATATAAATATACATAAAAATATATGTATATACACACGTACATATATATATTTTATTTCAGAAGTTTAGTTTAATGGATATAATAATGTTAAAAATAAAATACGCGAGGAAGGAATAACAAATTAAATTCTCTCTCTGTGATTCGTCTAAAGAACGGGAAAACTCTTTAAGGAAATAAAAAAGAAATGAATTATGACGAAGTTACGATTATGATTGATTAATTAGTATTATTATTATTGCCATCGCCGTTTACTGTTCCGTATCGTAACCGTGGATTGAATAACAATGTCAGGCGAACGGGACGGGCCGACAAACTCGATTTTTTCGTAAACGAACTCGACTCGTGATTTTTTCTTTTCGCTAATAACAGTAACGAGTTATCCTATCGATGTAATAAAAACAAGTATTTTTACCGATCTCTAACTGCAATTTAATTTTTCATCCTATCCTTCCATTATACAGAATGGACCACGTAAGAATAATTTGTTATTTATATTTCTGTATACCTCGAACAACTTCATATATTTGTATCTACCTAAGGGTAACGTGGTCCATTCCGTATTTAAGCTGAAAAAATAAATACATTGAAAAGTTCAAGTGGGGAAGAGGCAGGTAAAGATGTGGGCGGTTTAAAATTGGTAAAACGTTTATTAACTATTTAAAAACGATGAAACAAGGTGAACATGAGTTTGACAATTTAATAAGTAATATTATTAAATAGACTATAGAGGTGTATAATAAGTGTCTGTAGTAATTATTCTCTTTATACGTTTCCTTTACATCAAGAGAGACGTCTTTTTCGTCACCTTTGTTATTTTCTTTACTCTCATTTTCCATGATTCTTATCGATTTCTGGTGGAGTCTGATCACCAGTTGTCTCTTTTTATTCATACATACATACATACATACATACATACATACATACACACACACGCGCACGCACGCACGCACGCACGCACATGCATCTCTGTCTTCAGGCACAAACTGTGCGACAATATTTTTTATTCATTTTAATTACGACAATGATTCTCGTCACTCATCCTCTCCAACTATATCAATAATACAGTTTCTGCTTTTTTTATCTTTTTTCTTTTATTCTCTTTAATACGTGCGACGGCTGTTGCGTAAACGACTCTAAACACAGGATCTGTCGTAGGAAAAATAGCTCGTAGAAAGCGTACTCATGCTAATTATTATTATTAATATTACTGTTATTATTAATATACCCAATCAACCGATGTCGATCTCGCGCGTAACACGTCCTACGAATAAAACGAGGAGAAAAGAACGCAAGATTTGTTCATCAGCTCCTTTCGCTCGTCCGGGCCGAACGATGGGCGAAACGGTTCGCGAAATCGGTCGACGATCCGACGATCGCGAAATTAAACAGTGTAGGCGTATGGTCTTTGCGACGATATACAGTTTTAGCTACGGTTCCAGCTCCAATGGAACGATTTCCCATCGCCCTATTAATGCTTTTCCGCGACACGCGATATGCTCCTCATGCTCTTCCTTTATTACCGATAAGTACACACTGCGTGATCGATTATTATTTCCCTCCTTTAGTCTCTCCGTTCCTGTATCGCATCGAACAAATTCTTATCCGATATTCCGACCTGTATGTGATGTGATTCCGAAAAGATGTGATTGCCTTCGTGCAAACGGCTTTAAGCGGAAAAAAACGCCGTTTGTTTTAGGTGGACATTGAAGATCGATAAAGACGTTTCATTATTGAAACCCGTTTCGTTTTCTTTCATCCGCATCCGGTTATCTGCAGATTGGCAACCGGACCAATCACAGAAAACGAAATCCTCCTTCGAAACGAAAATATAAATCGCGAAACTCGCGTTTAAAATCCGCTCCTCCCTCTTTCACGCTACCACCATATACCATCTCAATTACCCGGATGCAGGTATTTACAGTAATTATATATTTATATACCTACTATTGTAATAATAATTTAATAGTGGTATGTTAAATTACAATAGCATTCATTCTCTCTACCCTCGACGCTCGTCTTCTGTTCTCTTTCTCCCTCACATTCACTCATCCTCTTTCGATCTCTACCTCACGTTCTCTCTCTTTCTCTCTCTCTCTCTTTCTCTCTATTTATATATATATTTATATATATAATGTTGCACGTAACCCAGTACTGGCTTAGTAATCTAGCTGTACAAAACATTATATATCGCTATTCTAGCATCTAGAGATTTGTCGTGTGAGGTTTGATGAATCATGAGGTTCTCGTAAATATTACGTCCGAGTCTTATTTTTTTATTCTCTGCCATCTGTTATATATGGTTGATTCCGCGAAAAAAAGAAACAGACACTCATTCCTCGAACAACATTTCTAGTTTCCTCTTATACTCGTTTGATTCATGATCAAGGATTCGAATCGTCATCTCTTCGACCAACAAATCTAATCGATTTCCATCTCTCTCCTGTCCTCAGCCATTTTTATTGCGATTAAGTACGTTAAAAAATACCACGCTACTTCGCTCAGAATTAACCGGACCAAGCTATACGATCATATATAGTGTGTTCGGTGAAGCCAAGTAATTCCCATTTTCTTTGTTCGTTTACTTTTATATTCCGACTCATTTCCTGCCTCGCGCGTCTACTTTCCTACAATCATTTTTATATTATTTCTCTCTTGATTCATCCGTCACGCTCGTCGTAGCCGTCGCGATTTGCGCGTGGGGAAAAATTCTCTCGTCTTTCTCTTTGAACGTCTAAACGTGCTGTGTGCGCGTCTTGCGACCGCGACGAGAAAACTATCTTAAACATCTATTATTTTACTTTTTTATTTATTTAACGTTTTGTTTTATCGTTCGCACTGTTCCTTCGACCTCGGCCGAGTTTATGCATCTATTTATTATAACAGCGATCGGCGTGAAACTCTGTACACATACAACGTAACACAGCGGAACGCGTCGTGGTCGATTAACCGCGACGCGAATCCTCCGATAAAACACACGCGGCTCCTCGATGTTCCTCGAATTGTCGAAACGCGTTAAAATCGATTTCGAAACAAATACACAGCGGTCTTATCTTCTCCTCTTATTCCCTTCTGCGGATATACAATGGAAAACGATGTTTCCGGTTGCAATCAGGAGAATGCGCTATGCCTTCTTTCGCCGTGTATTCGCGTTCGACGTTTTAACATCGTGATAAAAACCAATCACGAAAAGCATGACGAACATCGTGGATTACAACGAAACACATCTGGTATTTAACACTATAACACATAACCACCCCATTTGACGATCTCGGCGGGGTGGAATCTTTAAAACGCTTCTTTAAATACTCCGCGGTGCCGGATCTCTCGTCGAATAATAAAATTCTCGCTGATCCGCGAGTTCCTGCATGATAGATACTCGGGAAACGCTCCCAAAAATCATACCTCGTCGTCTCATCCAGTCTTCAGGTTAAACAGCTGATCTTCCTCTAGTCATTCTTAAACAAGCTGTCTTCCGCTTTACTACTCGCTCTCGAAGTCCTTCTTCGACGAGGTGTACGCCTGCTCAACTGGGACATTGTGCTAATTGGTAGGCAGAGGGTGTAAGGTGGGCCGTGGAGTGACGTGGGACGGGATGGGAACGGGGAAAGGCATTAGACTCGATTAATTTTTATTAAGCTTGACGCCTCGGCGGCAAAGTCCAAGCGTTCGGGCCGGGCTGAGCGTGGGGGGCAGGACGTCACAGTTGCTGGTCCCTGCATGGTACCCAAATGTTCGGGCCTGACTGCTCAGCGATCACCTCCTTCACTTTTACATAAATCTCCTCCGGAGTGTCGCCTTGCACCACGGCTGAAATCAAACACATTTTCTATCATTCTCCACTATTAAAGCTGGATTTATGGTACAATAATTAGTCGGATAATCAAATTATATTTATTATATTTGATTCGATCAGCTTACCAGTAAAGTACTCTCCGAACTCTTGCTCCATCTTCAATGCTCGTTCGTACGTCTTTTTCGCTTGCTCTTCGGTCATCCTCTTATTCATTTCCCTATAAAAAGGATTCCACCAGTCATTAATTATTACTTACAATAGAATCAACTAAGTTGAAAAAAATTTACTACGTACATGACCGACTCCACGGATTTCGGTTTAATGAAGATCGCAATGGGGTATAGCTGCGCTACTTGTAACCTTTTGATAGCGTTTCCGCTCACGTCCAAAATACAATGTTTCCCCTATAATAACATGTCATTTTCATTCATTCCTGATAACACGTATAATTTTACGGTTTTTGTAAGTTATGATGTGCACCTTTTCAGCGACTTCTCGCACTGATGCCACAGATGTTCCATAAAGATTGTCATTATACTGTCCAGCCTCGATGAACAAGTGGTTCTGAATATCCCTCTCCATTTGTTCCCTTGACGCCACGAAATGATAGTCCCGTCCGTCCACTTCATATTCTCTTCTACTCCTCGTCGTATCTTTACAAGCAAAAGCATTTTTTAAAAAGAAAATCTTTTTCATTCGCGATTTAAGTTAATGCCGACAGGTTCAAGTGTTTCTAAATCACAATACAAACGACAAAGCAACCGTTAATACGATTTGCCCAAATTGTAAATGCTCGTGTTCCTATAATTAATTATTCATTAACAGAAACACTGTATTTCAACCGGAACCCGATAGAACGTCTGAGCGCAAACATTAATTATCCATTAAAATTAATTGAATTCGGAACGGAACTCCGCCGAGTCTAAAGTCAAAACGCGGAAATAAATTAATATCTCTCGGACAGAAACTGGATTGATTTAATACAATTAAAATAAAAACTGGTTGAATTTCGCTGTTCATGCTTGAAAATCGGAATAAAATTACCGCGGAAAACAAATCATGTCGTTGTTCTGAGAAGAGTGAAGACCGACAGATTGCGAATCCCTCCTGCGTTAACGCGTGACCTAAATCAAGGGAGATGCGGATGCGTTTTCAACTCACGTGGCACACAGCTGCCGAACTTGTCGGGGAACTCCGAGATGAGGTCGTCGTTGATACGATCCTTGAGAGGACCGAGGATAATGACGGGCCGGGTGTATTGTATGGTGAGCTGTTGGACTGCCTCGTAGGACAGCACGTTTTCTTCGCTGCCTGCAATTTTCGGTATAAGTACACTCTGTGTTTCCGCGCGAGCCGATAGGAAGCTTTTTTTGTTATCATCCACGGTTAGAATGTATTGCACGCTTTTCAAACAGCTTAGGAAACTATAATATGTGTTTTCTACTTTCTCGACATTTACGATAAGTTTCATCCTCTATACGATTTATATTGAATTTCAGATGAGAAAGAGGTATGAAACATTTCTTACTCAATTGGATAAGTTGTATGCCCTGGTTAAGAATTAATACAGAAACGCGACCGAGTACTAGATTGTTTATACTGTTGTGGGAAACGATTCATGCTTTAGCGTCTAGGAAACAGTTCGAAGCGAAAAGGAGGAGTATAAAAGAGTGGTAAGCTTCCTACTGTCTAAAAAACTTAGATAATCGTAAAATATCAAGGTCGACGTGGCGTTAATTATGCGGCGGCTATATGCTAATGTATTCGATTCTCTAAGAGTTTTGTAGTTTGTAATTGATACTCAACGCTACGTGGTTGTAATGGATTCAATACCGCTATCAGAACGTGTCGCCTCTTATCGATTTTGACAAAATTTGATCTTTAAGAAACAACACGATTTTTTATGACCTACTCAGAGCGCCTGCGATTTTTGTTTGTTAAAAAAACGTCTACGTGAGGGTGATTAGTGTTGACAGAGAAAAAACAAAAAAAAATGACAGATAGACAAGAAGCACGTCGCGACCGTCCCAATTGCGCGAAGCGTTCCACGGTGATTTGTCAGTGCTTAGGGTTGAGAGGAACGGAGAAAATCAAAGAAAAACCAATCAATAACAAAGAACAGAATCACAGTAAAAAAAATTATGCTCGTATCATATCAAAAACGATACGTTGTTAGTCAGAAGAAACCTAATTTTCTGCTGTACACTCCTGTTCTTTTAATTTTCACACGTTTTACTTTTTCTCGTCTATTTGGTCACTTACTAATCTCATTATTCACATCGTCTTCCTGTTCCAGATAAACTAACGTCAGTTCCTCCATATAAGGCAGTTCGACGCGATATAAAATTTCTCTACTCCCTGCGACGCAAGACAGATATCCTTTTATGAATGAAACGATGATAGAAGCGCGCGGTGATAATGATGTATAAAAAACGGACGAGGACGAAGAATGAACGCACCACCATAGACGTGATACATTATATTAGTCTCGAAAAGTATTAATGAAAGCTGAAAAGACGTTCTGTTTTGTCGTGCATGGTCCTCTTCGCTAATTTCATAAAAATCTAATTCGTTTGACGACAATCGCTGTCGATTTTAATATCATGTACCCCATCTACAAATACCTAAGTCTATCGTTATAACGTCTCCAAATATCTTGCAAAATTAAGTAAAGATAAGAAATGAACGAAAGCGAAAGAAATTGATATTATTTGACTCGTTGAACCACTTCGATTGCTCTGTAGGGTGTCGCTCCCCGAAGTCAATAGGTTCGTTAATCGCGAATGGCAGAGTGTGGGCATTCAAAAATGACAACGCGCTACGACAAAAGGACGCTGTCGAACAATGCGTTCGTTTCGCTGTCGAATCGTTATATCACAGTAATGAACGTGTGCTTTGTTAATTGATGCGACCGAGATGAAAACGAGGAGAGAAAACAAGGGGGCGTGAAGGGAGGGTCGGAGAACGCATAATGGAGACTGAAATGAAAGGCAGCCAGAGATAGAGAGACAGGGGCGAACAGAAAAAAGGTACAAATGTACGTGGGGAATGGTTGAAACAGAAAGAGTGAGACAAAGTGTACAGAGAGAGAAGAGAGAAAGAGAGAGAGAGAGAGAGAGAGAGAGAGAGACGTGATTACCTTCGGTGTTAGTGTCGTCCTGGGTGTAGCACAGCATGAATGCTAAAACATAACAAGTTCAATATTTCAGTATACGTTGCATACTAATAAGCGGCCGTTAATAATTGCTAGGATTAATTAAGCTTTAAGCACGAACAATCGTCCACCCCCCTACCGTCGAGGCTGGCTCGAGCAGCCCCGATTGGCCCGCTTGTGATAGCTCGTCTATCTGTGGCACACGCGAGTTCCGTAAAGTGTTACGCTTACTATATTTGATCATTTAATAGCGTTAAAATTTTCATAAAATCTGCAAATTTCAGATGTAGATATTAGGCAAACGCATTTCTGCTTTATCTTGCAAATACGAGCGTTCATAAGGAATTAATAAAAACCGATTTTAAACTAATTCATTATTTGATGTTTAATATCTTCAGATATTTTTATGAGAAAACGTTAGAAGGTCTATCATTTTATGTACCAAGAGACCACTTAGTATAAGATCGTGGGAAGTTACAGGGTAATCATGCTTCTACCGTGATCTCAAAAGTAATTAGAATTCTAAGTACAGCTTTGCCACTTCCATCGTAAACGGATCTGCTTTTAAGTACTATAAATGTCCTTTAGCAAAGATTTACCTACTTAAGATCGTTTAACGCGGTGTTCAAGTAATTTGACTAATCTCGAACGAACTTCCGCGAGTTATAACTTTATCGGACATTCGAATTGGCATTTTTTACGTGCCGAGACTTGGATGCGTTTTTGTACGTGGCGAGCCATTTCGAAACTACCGTCGACCATTACCATTACACGTGCCGGAAACTTTCTACAAGCATACAAGGAAAGCACTAACGACTACGACGATCCACTGAAACGATTAGCCAATTGAAAAGCGGGAGGTCGAGTAAAGTGTCGCGTGATGATTAAGAAACGCAGGCATGACGCATTTGGTAGTTTTGGATGAAGTTGTAGCGTGCAAGCAAGCATAGAAGAGAAATGTACGGAAATATTTGAAGAGACCTCGCGAGAAGCGTAACTACGATTCACAGGGTCGCTGATTTCGTTTCTGTCCTTTCTTTTCTCAAATTCGAAATTTGTGTCGATTTCTTTTTTAACTTTCAATGAAACAGAAATGTATGTGCACGTGTAAAGTATGTAACGTGTGTCAAATGGTGTAAATCGTGTGTCGTATGATGGTGTCGTGTTTCTTCTTGTTGACTAACTTAGAATACTTACGTGTAGGATCGTTTTCGTTCTCGGGTGTCGTGGGCGACCCTACACAAGCAGGCAAAAACAAAACACATGTCACGTTTTCACATGGTAAAAAACACAAAAGCTCAATCGGAGAAGTTGGGCGTTATCGTCGTACCTGTCACGAATTACTAATCTTTATACGGAACAGAAAGTTTTAACGACTCGTTCATTGGGTCAATTTCTCAATTACGCTTGAAGTTGAATCTGTCGGGGATCTGGTGCGTGTGTATATTAAACAAATTACTCTACATTAACACAAATCGATTGATCGAAAGAAATATAAGAGAAATAACAATCATACGAAGGGGAACAACAATCGATTCTACGAAAGGGTTAACAACTTTGACAACGGATCATTCGAGAGTTAATTTATGTCGAGGCCACCAATTCAATTTGTTAACGATTAAACACATATTTAAAAAAAAGAAGATAAATTTATAGATAAATTGTTGCAAGGGGGAATATCTCAAGACACACGTGAAAAAAACTGCTAACTGTCAGTTCAAGTATACCGTCTAATAAATATATAATATATATATATATAGTGACTGGGAAATACGACGAGAATGAAAAAAATAGTCACGTTAAAAGACCACAAAAATAGATACTGATCTGAACATGCACAGAACGTGCAGGATTACGAATTTTCAATGTTTCGAGATACTCACGTTCCTGATCCGAACCATCCTCGGATTTGTCGTCCTTGCTCTTCATGAATGGGAACTTCCTGCTGAACGAGAAGTTCTTCTTCTTCCTATCCAGCGTCGATTGCTGCGAACAAATAATTATACTCATCAAACTTAGTAAGTTATATGTACTACTTAATTGCATGCCCTTTAATGTATCAACGATACAAAGTGCAAGTAGTACAATAATAGTAGCAACTAATATTTCTGTTGTTAGATGATACTTGAACTTCATAATTTTCAATGAATCTTGAAAACGAAAAATTGGAAATACACATAAATACCAATAAGTAAACCGCAAGTAGTGTAGATCAATAATAATAATTCCAATTCCTTTTAATTTGTTTGATAATTGAAATTCAGATTCTAAGATTGAAATACAACAATCAAATCTTATCGTACATATGTATATCGAATCCTATAACGTTATAATGTAAAAGAGAAAAATTTGCAAGTAGTATAAGTCAACGATATCAGAATCGAATTGATCCTCGATACTAGAGACTCGTCAACTTAGCTCGCAATTGAAATTGTGAATCCTCTTCGATTTCTTATCGAACGTGGCTCACTTACCTTGTCGAGGATGACCGGCATGTGGCCTTGAAACTTGACGGAACGGTCCCTGGCGCGCTGCTTCCGTTCCCATCGTCTGCGCGACGGTATTATACCGAGGCCTTCCTCCTCTCCCTGAGGAGTCACTCTTCTCGCCTGCCACCATTCATCGTCGCTGGCGTTCGTCACGTGTAGGATTTCACCGTAACGGAATGCCAAACCGCGGCTCGGCAGCCCGTCGTCCTTGTTAGGATCGTAGTCGAATAGCGCTCTGTGAAAGTCCAAAGGAAATACATTCTCGCGACTGCTCTTCGGTTATGGGAGGGATTATAGAACGAATAGTAAATTCCCGATGACTCACCTGACGTAAAGCGATTTCTTTTGCGAGGTCCTCATGAGGGTGCCTGTCATCAAATTCTGCTGGGAGATCTGCTGCTTAAGATCATGGATCTTCGCCTCGAATCTGTTGTAGTCTTCGGGCTTGTACTGTACCACGATCGTCACTGTTTGCCCGGTGCCCTGAACACAAACGTCATCGCTTTTAATTACCGACGCGTTAATTAACCTTTTCATCAAATTAATTAGTCCACAGCTGGTGGGTATCTTGAGGAACGAATTTTCTTGAAACGGAAACTCGGAAGATACGACTAACAACCGGGAGATAAAATATTTGTTTAAAATACCTTGAGGGCCGCGGCGGCCTCTTCATGGGTGGCTGTCCGTAGATTAATGCCATTGACGCTGAGTATCTGGTCGCCACGGCGTAGTTCACCGCTGAGGTCGGCAGGACCTCCGGCTAGGATGAAGGAAATGAAAATTCCCTCGCCATCTTCGCCACCGACGATATTGAAACCGAGTCCGGATGAGCCCTTGTTCAGTACGACAGTACGTACCTCCCTGGAAATGGGGACAAAGACCCGGCCACGTTAATTAACCGCATTCGCATAATTATACTAATACGACCTAATTTTATAGCCAGTACTTTCGATTATCATATAATCGAGTGAACGAGGTTTCATTTCAATTTCTACACAACTGTGATGAATTATGATTGATTAATTTATGTTTTCTATAAAGAGAAAGCGTTTCTCCTTTCTCATTCATTTTTTTCTTATTAATTTATTGCACATTTATTTATGTGGCAGAAGAATGACTCTTCTCTATGATCACATAAGAATTGAATTGTTTCACCTGACAACTTTTCATTCATGCTGCTATTCATGTGCAATCGTACGCATCCTCGCAGAATCCTTAGACGAGCGTAAATTACTGCGTTAATTAAGATTCCCATTGAAATTCGCCCCTTTCGGATTGCACGTGCGACAGCTCGAGAACTCACGAGTACTCTAGAATTTCATGAAAATGACGAGAGCACACGTCTCAAGGACTTACACGCGGAGCTTACGTTCCAAAAATCCGACTTGAATTACACAAAGCGTATTCTCTTGTTCCCCCGTATGTAAAATTTCTTAAACCATGATTTCATAGTTGAGCATCTTATTAAAGATTAAGTTGAGAGGTACAGTTCACCGTGTATAAAGTTTGCAAAGTAATCACGAATGCGTTCGCAGTTGAGAAATCCCGCGGATCGAATTTGCATATAGAAAATTTGCCAAAATTGAGTTTAGCTTGGAGTTCGTCAGAATTCCAGAGCGTCACGATCCGTACGGGAATCCGGATGGTACTATATTGGTTCTGACCCGATCCCGGGAGTTATCGGTAATCGAGTTCTGCCCACCATACGATATGTATTGCCGGAATTGGGTTGCACGACCAGAACAAGCGCATTGTCTACTATGACGTGTACTCGAGATACTGTCGCCTTACGTTTATCTATAAATAAACCCAAGATCGCAGTTCAAATTCGCACCATCGACAGATTTTCAATATTGATGCGAGCTGGTGAATGAAAATTCTGCAGCGTCTTTCGAAACCGCAGCAAATTGTTGCGCGCGTTGCGAAATCTGGATACAGAGCTTAATTAAGCTGCGCCACGGAAATCTCAACGAACTACGAATTTTTCCGGGAGACGGAAGTAGCAGCGCTCGTGGGTTAAAAACAACCGGTGTCCTAATTAAGAATTTCAGTCAAAATTCGAGCCTATTCAATGTACGGTTCATCGCTTATGAGTGTTGCTCGACCGCGTCCGCAGTTGTTGTACTCCGCGTGAAAACCCGGATTCATCCCGGTCTAACTTTGCCCGCAGGGGCGAGCGCGAGGGGTTTTAATCCCCGAAAGGTCGATTTTCATTCCGTTCCAGAGGAACCCACTCGACGCACGGGCTTGCTTCTCGCTTGCGTTAACAAAGACCTCAAATTAGTGGTCGGCCAGTGCAGCTGCGTTTCCAGGGCTCCATTAAGGCCACGTCGTAATGCACACGCCATGGATAAACCGAGGGACGATATCGTGCTCTCAAGTATAGCGAACTTGCTCAAAGCAAGCTAAATAATGTGTCGTTTGACGATATTCTAGCCCAGAAATCTGCAGATAAATTAACTGTTAAGTTATAATCCGAACAGTGAATACTTTTCATAGAATGCTGTATTTAAGAGATTTTACAATTTGAAACAGAGTAGAATTATTGCGAGCAGTACTGGGGAAACTTTTGTATCGGTATTGAATAAGTGACATTAAAGAGAGCAGCGATCAGTTAATAAATAAAAGAGAGAGAGAGAGAGAGAGAAACGGTCGGTGCAGTAGCAGTGCAACTCGTTAACGATTATTCCATAGAGCAAACTATATTTAGCCGATACACAGCAAAGCACGAAATGTCAATACTTCGCGTAGTACGCCATGGAATATTGTATGGCGAGATTCTGGAACGATTTATTTTCTTCACACAGAGATTATGCATTTCTAATACAAAACATATAAGAGTGTGACAATATTTTAATTAAAACTCAGCGACAGTTACAAGTATTCAACAAATTCTAAAATATAAATGCAAAACAGTTCTAAAAATACAGACATTCATATAACTAAATCATGATCAGTTAAAAAATGATAGGTGATGTAGTCTGATGAGTCAGTTACAACTATGATCTTTTAATCATAGGTAATACGCGTATTCTGATCAGCATTTAAGTGCAAATCCGACGATCGGAGTCACGGTCGAGGACCCGGATCATGAAATATTTATAACGACGATAACCGGGGGTCACGATTTCACGGTTAATTGACTGTTCACGAGGCACGCCGGTGCCCCTCGGTACGGTAAATTCATGAATGACTTCATTTCGCTGAGCCCTGCATCTCCTCCAGGAACGTCCGCTTTAAGCGAGCGGCGTTCCGACCGAACCGAAAACACGTCCTTCGATGCAAAACGATCACGTTCCAACGTCTGTGGAATGCAACCCGACGAGAATTCACGCCTGTGTGGATTACACGTACGTGCGACAATGAAACGAGAAGACCTTCTTCTCTGGGAAATTAATTTTCATTACCCACTGTACTTAACGATAATGTCGATAAATTTCCAATCCGTCGAAGCTTCGTTAAAAAATACCGTTTTGTCTAGAGTTCTAAAGTTAAAAATAAACTTGACAGAGAGGTTTCTGCATAGAATGAAACGTTATGAATAATGAAATATACGACAGGAAACGCGAGTTATTTCCGTATTATAGGAGAAGAATGTTTCCATGAATACGAATGGTTTCCTTTCTGGAGTAACTCTGCGGAATTCATGAATAATAAGGATTCACGTTCCGTCCGAAATCTCGGAACGGATTATAAGAATAGTCTTAACTTTTAGAATCCAGTTTCCTGCATCCTTGACCGACGCCGTACCAAAAGAACCTCGAGGTCCTTTCAGCTATTAAAAGATCCACGAGTGTCCTCAATCCGTATCAAAAGAGAATACTAGACCACTTAACTCTCCTCCAAATTTAGACACAAATCCAATGCAATTTGGCCAATATTTTCTTTTTATTACAAACTGTGATAAAAACTGAGGAAAGGAAGTATTAAACACTTGTGTGTGATTGGAGTGAAAAAGAGAGATTTAAGAAACGCATCAGATTTTAATGTACGTAGGGACGTCACTGGCGCACACGCGAGTTTCAGCTGATCCAAGCTCACCTGCGCAATGCGCTCGAAACTGCGATACGTTTCACGCCTCTCGCTGTGCACCCGTGTTCTTGTCACTGTTCCGCAGTGACGCAATTCGCTCCGGAAACGAAAATGTCACTGGGTCAAGAGGACCTGCCCGAAAAACGACTCGGCTTCGTTTTCGTTTAAATCATGCAATTCCATCAGTCGAACAGAAATACTTATCGCGACGGAAACAGACTTCTCTGTCTGAATGTGTTCCCTTGAGGATCAATGATTCAGTAGGGCGGATGATCACTGCGATTCACTAATCAGCTGGTCAATTTACATTAATCATTTATGAATTGATCTGGGGAGCGTTTGTGGGTCAAGGGAGATACGTTATTTCCTTTGAAGGTTGGTCAACACATTTTGGTAATGTAAAGGGGATGGTTCCTTGAACAATATGCTATTAATTCTCTACGAGAAAAGAATTGGTACGTGATGCAATACGAAAACAGGGAAGGAGATCGTAACATTGACGACACGACAACGTCACAGGGGCACTTGCGTGGCGAAATGACACGTACTTGCTTGTGGTCCGTATTCACCGCGGCTTTGAAGCGACTAATAAAAGCAAGATCAGCAGCGGAACCATAACAACGGGGCATCGGTTCGCGATCTGGTTGTTTCTGGCAGCTGTGGCTCACCTCGATCACTTTCGCAAACGAGTCACTCCGTTCACTGACACACGACTCTCTCCGTTGCCAGACGACACCGGCGATCCTCCATCGAAAAAAACCCGACACGCACCACCCTTCGATTCGAAAAGCTGCGCGCGCGACGCACTGCCACGCTGGTGCGTGAAAACTGCGGCACACCTGTTCGTTGCGCCAGTGACGTAACCCACCCTGCGATCGGGGGGTAACTCGATTCTCGAGATGGGAAGAATACCACCGAAGGAAACTCGGGAAATATGAGGCGATTTGGAGAGAACTCGCGGAAGAGGGAAACGTGGACTCCGTCTGGAACGCGTCCCGACGACGACGACGACGGGGGCGTCGCGACGGATTAAAGGCCGTATATAGGTGGCCACCGTGTCGCCATGCGCCGCGCTGCCAAGCCGGCCCCCGCGGGCTATATCAGATCGATAGAAATAAGCTGACTCTCGCACGTTTCCACCACCTCTTCGACCACCATCCGCCCCTCTTTCTACTTCCCCTACTCGCGGAAACGGGGCCAAACAGAGGGATGTTTCCGCGAAAGGGATGCTCACTTTCCATTTTTGGCCGTGCCCGGTTACCCTGTTATGTATTCCCTATCCCTTTCTCGAGGTCGAGTGCAAAATCTAATTTCATTGAACGATATGCAATGCCATGTATGTCTTATGTTTAAGCAACAACTCGCATTTTTATCAAGGGAACATTCAGTAGGTGTAGAATATCTTTAGTTCTCGAAACGTGATAATAGAAGTGTATCGAATTGGACGGGTTAAGTGGCCTGGCGCAGTTGATAAGAATTATTCTGTCGGTGGACGCGCGGGTTTCATTCGATCTGATTATCGAATGTACCTCTTCTACGTTTTCATTTATATTGCTCACTCAGACACGTATAAAT